TCTCGAAAGACGTAGAATTGGGGGGGATACGATCGAGGTGTATAAATGAAAAACAGGAATAAATAAAGGGGATGTAAATAGCGTGCTGAAAATTTCCAGCCAAGACAGGACTTGCAGCAATGGTTTCAAGTTGGAAAAATTCAGATTCAGGAAGGATATAGGAAAGCACTGGTTTGGTAATAGAGTTGTGGATGAGTGGAACAAGCTCCCGAGTACAGTTATTCAGACTAAAGCGTTGTGTAGTTTTAAAAATAGGTTAGATAAATACATGAGTGGGTGTGGATGGGTGTGAGTTGGACCTGACTAGCTTGTGCTGCTGGGTCTGGTGCAGTGCTCCATCCTTGAGTGGAGGTGATCAGACTGGGTGGGTCATTGGGCTAATCCGGGGGGGTGGGGTCATTGGTCTAATCCGGGGGGGAGACATGGACCTGCTCCGCATGGGTCATCAGGCCTGTTGCAGTGTTCCTTCTTTCTTATGTTCTTAATGACGAGATTCCCTTCCCATATTTAGACTAATAAAAAAATTACATTTTAAGAGAATTTGCGTTTTTTTTGCATGACTACGTTCACGTTAATGATGTGCACAGTCATGTCGATATCGTGTTAAAATACTATTAAGATATATTTACATTATTCATTAAAGTTAAAAAAGTTGAGTCTCCTGTAAACTTGTGGTGGGCACCAGAGCTCAGTGGAGAGAGAGAGAGAGAGAGAGAGTGAGTGAGTGAGTGAGTGTGTGTGTGTGTGTGTGTGTACTCACCTAATTGTACTCACCTAATTGTGGTTGCAGGGGTCGAGACTCAGCTCCTGGCCCCGCCTCTTCACTGATCGCTACTGGATCCTCTCTCTCTCTGCTTCCTGAGCTTTGTCATACCTCTTCTTAAAACTATGTATGGTTCCTGCCTCCACTACTTCACTTGCTAGGCTATTCCACTTGCTGACAACTCTATGACTGAAGAAATACTTCCTAACGTCCCTGTGACTCGTCTGAGTCTTCAGCTTCCAGTTGTGACCCCTTTGTCCCTGTGTCCCCTCTCTGGAACATCCTATCTCTGTCCACCTTGTCTATTCCCCGCAGTATCTTGTAGTCGTTATCATGTCTCCCCTGACCCTTCTGTCCTCCAGTGTCGCAGTCCGATTTCCCTTAACCTTTCCTCGTACGCATTCCCTTGAGCTCTGGGACTAGCCTTGTTGCAAACCTTTGTACTTTCTCTAACTTCTGACGTGCTTGACCAGGTGTGGGTTCCAGACTGGTCTGCATACTCCATTTATGGGCCTAACATACACAGTGTACAGTGTCTTGAACGATTCCTTATTGAGGTATCGGAACGCATTCTCAGGTTTGCCAGGCGCCCGTATCTGCAGCGGTTATTTGGTTGATGTGTGCCTCCGGTGATGTACTCGGTGTTATGGGTCACCCCAAGGTCTTTCCCCCTGAGTGAGGTCTGTAGTCTTGTCCACCTAGCCTATATTCTGTCTGCGGTCTTCTTTGCCCCTCCCCAATCTTCATGACTTTGCATTTGGCGGGATTGAATTCGAGAGCCAGTTACTGGACCACATGTCCAGCCTTTTCCAGGTCTCTTTGCAGTCCTCCCTCATCCTCGTCCGATTTAATTCTTCTCATCAACTTCACGTCATCTGCAACAGGGACACTTCAAGTCTATTCCTTCCATAAATGTCGTTCACATATATCAAAAATAGCACTGGTCCTAGAACTGACCCCTGGGGGACCCCGCTCGTAACAGGCGCCCACTGTGATACCTCTTCACGTACCATGACTCGTTGCTGCCTCCCTGTCAGGTATTCCCTTATCCATTGCAGTGCCTTCCTTTTATGTGTGCCTGATCCCCCAGCTTCTGCACTAATCTCTTGTGGGAACTGTGTCAAAGGCCTTCCTGCAGTCTAGGAAAACGCAATCTACCCAACCCTCTCTCTCGTGTTTTACTTCTGTTACCTTGTCATAAAACTCCAGGAGGTTTGTGATACAAGATTTCCCTTTCCCATGAACCCATGCGGGTTTTTCTTTTATAATCTTGTTCCCTTTTCCCCAGGTTTCGACCACTCTCCCCCTGATAATCTTCTCCATGACTTTGCACACAATACATGTCAGAAAACACAGGTCTGTAGTTTGGGTGCCTCGTTTCTGTTTCCTTTCTTAAATATGGGACTACATTAGCTGTCTTCCATTTCTCAGGTAGTTGCCCAGTTTAAAGGGGATGTGTTGAAGATTGTGGTTAGAGGCACACAAAAGCATCTCTGCTCCTTCTCAAAGGACCCATGGGGAGATGTTGTCCGGTCCCATCGCCTTTGAGGTGTCAAGGTCACTTAAGAGCTTCTTCACCTCCTCCTCAGTTGTTCGTATGTCACCCAAAACACTTGTTGGTATATTCCCTCTTGATGTTCCCTTCTGTGCTGTCTTCCCAAAAGCCCTTCCTGTCTCTACTGTAAAAACTTCCTTAAATCTCCTGTTCAGCTCCTCACATCCCCTCTGTTCATTTCTTGTGAGTTCTCCACCTTCTGTCCTTAATCTGATCACCTGGTCTTTGACTGTTGTCTTCCTCCTGATGTGGCTATACAACATTTCGGGTCGTCTTGATTCTCGATGCTATGCCCATTTTCATACTGTCGCGGGGCCTCCCTCCTTACCTGTGCGTACTCATTCCTGGCTCTGCGACTGATCCCCCTTTTTTCCCGTGGTTTCTCTGCCTTCTGTACTTTTTCCATTCTCTATTTGCACTTTGTTTTTGCCTCCTTACACCGTCGGGTAAACCAGGGGCTTGTTCTCTGGTCTTCCCCGTTGTTACTGTTGCCCTTGGGAATAACCTTTCCACTGCCTCCTTGCATTTTGTTGCCCACATATTCCATCATTTCATTTACTGGCTTTCCTGCCAGTTCTCTGTCCCACTGGACCTCCCGCATGAAGTTCTTCAACCCTATGTAGTCCCCCTCTTTTATAGTCAGGCTTTTCCCATTCTACTCCTGTTATTCTCTCCACTTGCAGCTCTACTATGTATTCAAAGCACAGAACCACGTGGTCGCTAGCTCCTAGGGGACTCTCATACTGATATCCTCAATGTCTGAGCTGCCCAGGGTGAACACAAGGTCCAATCTTGCTGGTTCATCCTCCCCTCTCACTCTGGTAGTGTCCTTAACATGTTGGTGCATGAGGTTTTCCAGCACCACGTCCAACATCCTGGCTCTCCATGTTTCGGGACCCCCATGTGGCTCCAGGTTTTCCCAGTCGATCTCCATGGGGTTGAAATTCCCCATAACCAGCAACTTTGCTCTGCTGGAATGAGCTCTTCTTGCCACCTCAGCAAGTGTGTCCACCATTGCTCTGTTGCTCTCTTCATATTCCTCTCTTGGCCTCCTGCAGGTCTGTGGTGGATTATACATCACTGCAATGACCACTTTGTGTTCCCCAGGATGAAGTGTACCTGCCACGTAGTCTCTTTCTCCTGTCTCATCTATGCCTTCCATTTTCTCGAATTTCCATCTGTTTTTTACGAGCAGGGGCAACCCCACCTCCCCCCCTACCCCTTCTTATCTTTCCTCATGATCGGTATCCTTGTGGGAAGATTGCATCTGTTATTGTCTCTGTGAGTTCTGTTTCTGTAACTGCTATGATGTCTGGGGACTTCTCATTGATTCTTTCTTGCCATTCCTCATGTATATTCGTTAATCCATCTGCATTTGTTTACCAAACCTTCAACTTCTGTTCTATACTGTAACTGTGGTGGCGGGGGGAAACAGAGGGATCGGTGTGTGATGGTTGGTTTGGAAGTTCAGTTGCCTTGGGGGTGTCGTGGCTGGAGTCCTTCTGCAGGTGTTTCTGGGGGGGGCGCTTGTCCTTCCATTTGATCCTGGGGTTTTTCTGCTCTCCTTTTTCATTCCTCCCATTTCTCCTTTCGTTTTTGAATCTCTCTTTCATTGTCTTCCTTTCGTCCTGTGTTCTGTCTCGTCGAGGTACACACTCCGGAACTCCTGCTTGCCTCTCAGCCGTCTTTCTCCTGCAGGATCAGGTTCGGGTTGATTCTGCCTTGAAAATTACTTTGAAGGCCGATTCCTTTTCTTTGTGAACCACCCAATTCTCCGAAAATTTGCCACCTGGGTCATGTCCCCCTCGCCCATCACCTTCTGATGTCTTCAATCGCTTTTTTCTCCTCCTGCTTTCTTTCATCATAAGTTTCCCCTTTAGCTTCGTCTAGCCCATAGACAAACACGGATCTCTCCCTTTCCACCTCCCACTGTGACTCCCATTGCATCCTCTGATGTGTTTAGTTCCTTCCCCGTGGAGTGTTCCTTCCTTCAAATCCCCCCTCGTTAGCCCCCAGCTTCTTGTTTATCCTTCCTGCTCACTTGCTCCTGCCCCCACAGGACTGTAGTCCTTGCACATGTCCAGTTCCATCAATTCTTCCAACCTCTCTTTCTGTCCTAGGTGCTCCCTGTCTTGTTTGCCCCCTGTGGGTTTGACAGGACCTCTGCATACATGTTAGTTTCCATGCTTCCTTCGGACCTTTGTCTGTGTCGATGTACCATTGCCGATGCTACTCTGTAATCTTTTTCTCTGTCTGTTTCAGATGTCTCCACTCCTCTTCTAATCTCTCTACTTTATTTTGCTGCTGTGGCCTGTTGCTTCCCCCTTCTGCCTTCTGCGCAACCTCTCTTTCCATCTTCCTTTCCAGCTCATCCCAGTCTCCTTCCCAGTCTTCCCCCTTTTTTTAGCCATTGTGTGTGTGTGTTGTGTTGTGTGTGTGTGTGTGTGTGTGTCAGTCGTCAGTCAGTCATCCCTTAGAATAATTTCCAACAATTATGAAGTAGCGAAACAGATAGTTAGTGTTTGGTGTTGCCCCTTGAAAGTTCTCACCCTGTGGCCAGATATTGTTTTCTAATTATTAATCTAACATAAAAATAATATACTTCTGTACAAAATACATTAACTATACAAATATTTATTATATGAATTACCTATTATTGTACTCTGATACATATTGCAAAAATTATATCTTTATTGGTGCTTCATTATGGCAGTAATAAAGATCTTTTACTATATTTCTTAAAATAAATATCGGCTACACCATACTTCAACTCTGTTTTATACATGAGAGAGACGAGTTCAACAACACAACACTTACTGACAGTACACGGTGAATATTGATACAAAATTGAATGCCTTGGTCACATTTCTTGTTAAGTGTTATAAAGTAATAATTGGAATCCAACTTATGGTACAGTAGGAGTAGTGTGACGTGAATCACGTTGTATTACTGTGGTATTTTACATCTTGCCCTCGTAAGTTTGTATTAAATTGTTCTAAGGTACTTGTAGTGCGAAGGTAAAGTTAATTTTGGAGTAAAATTTGAATATGGTTTACGGTAGGTCGTTAACGTTAAAATAGAATACGAATGGCCAGTAGACGAGGTTGAACACTAAGATGAGGATGGGGGAGACAACACGACCGATTAATGTGATCCAGTAACCTACTGTCCAAGTCTCTCCCTCTGGCATCCCATTTATAATGTTGCTGTAGAGGCTTCCAGAGTCAATGGGCTTCACTTCCCTCAGTCTAGAACTGGGACGTGACACCACCCGCGAGAACAGTTGTTGGACACCCCCTTCCTCAGAGAACACTTCCAGTAGCACGTGAAGAGTGGCATGTAGGAGGGAATGCATGATACAAAAGCACAGCCAAGCATCCACAGCCTTGACTTTCCCTGAGGAAGGGCTGGTGATAGCTGTGATGAGCCACATCATAAGGAATGCCACCACCACGAAACAGCTGATGATGAGGCGGGAAGGTGTTTTGTTGGACATCCAGAGGGAACCAGTGCTCACCCCCAGAAGGACTGAAGAAGGCAGGAAGATAGCCAGGACCATGTACCCTGCTTGCCGCGCCAGCTGCACCTGCAGCACCACGCCGCTGTATACCCGACCACCCAGCTGCACAGCAAAAAGAAAAGGTCATGTTAATGTTATTAGAAGTGGTGTTGGATATTGTATATTACCATGTCAGAGTTCTCCACTTTGTGTATAGGACATTGAGAAAATCAAACACTCATCAAAATTAATAATAGGCAACTGGAATAAACTTTCTCTGCTTTTACTAATATACAACTTATTAATGGGAATTTAACATTTTAATAATTATTAATAAAAGATGCAGAGAAGTTACGCGTTAACGCTATAGACTTTGACCATAAACTGAGACGATCAGACATTCTGAGTAGTCAGGAATATGTGTGGAGAGTTTGCTCTAGTTCTGCTTGTTCTCTGTTGTTCCATTCCCCAGATCTGTATCTTCGCACATCCCTACCAGAAGCGTTGTATAACCCATAATGATTAAGCTCTTGTATTGATTATATTATTATTCCAATCTTAAGAAAAATGTTTAATTCCCACCCTTTCTCTTCCCCTTCTTTTTTAATGGTAATTATGTAATTTTAGCTTAGTTCCTTAGTCACTAACCTGAGCATTTTGAGACTTCATCTTGGCCTCCACTACCTCGAAATTTGAGAGCCTTGAAAACGAGGTGTATTTGACGCTGTTGATACCAGTGAGGAGGCGGGCGTGGTTGACCCCGTGAGGCACCAGCACCAGCGGCAACTCACACACATGCACGTCAAACGGGTAGAAACTGAGGTCGAAGTAGCAGTCGATGGTTTGATGAAGGTACTCGGCCAGTGTGATGGTGGTGTTAGCACCAGGGAAAAGCATGTCTGCAGAGATCACAGTATTACATACTACGATGTGATATATCTGGGTTCTTTGTACAACATAATGCTTTCGGTTTGAGCCTATGAGCTGCGACATATATATATATATATATATATATATATATATATATATATATATATATATATATATATATATATATATATATATATATATATATATATATATATATTATTTTATATATATACCTGGAGTTTACCTGGAGAGAGTTCCGGGGGTCAACGCCCCCGCGGCCCGGTCTGTGACCAGGCCTCATTGTGGTTCGGGGCCTGATCAACCAGGCTGTTACTGCTGGTTGCACGAAATCCAACGTAGGAACCACAGCCCGGCTGGTCTGATACCGACTTTAGGTGCCTGTCCAGTGCCTGCTTGAAGACATATATATATCAAGACAAGCCACAGGGGGGTGGAAATCTTTAGCTTAAGTACTTTCGCTCTTCCCAGTGCGTCATCAAGAGCTATGCAAGGTTGCAACTGAAGGAGTGAGGGGAAGTTTTTTCTCAGAACAGCGCAGAGTGGGCCTGTTGCCTCCTCCAGGCTCTCTTAGAATGTGGCCAGCGGTTGGTGTCACACCCACCACTGCCACCATCCGTCATCTCCCCCATGTGGGGTAAGAGGGTTTTGAGAGGTCAAGAAATATGAAATTAGAAGGTATAATAGTTCGCCCTAGCTTTTTTCTAACCGTTGAGAACAGGTCCTGTGACTTGAGAAAATACGTTTCTCAGGAGATATTATACATATGGATTGCTATTATTCTGTGTAACCTATTTAATTAACAAAAGGAAGGAAATGACTGTGCTCTTTGTCTAAATGTCCTTTTCCCGAATGTTCTCAGGGGTACTGAAACGTATCCTTTACTTTGTCTACTATTCTTTTCAATATCGATTATTATGCCTTGGGATTCTTCTATACCATTCCAATAATATTTCTATGATCCAGATTTCTACTTCTAATATCCTTTAACCCACTACCTATGTAATCAGGTAATATTGTCAATGTATGGTGCAATCACAGCTAAACGTGTTACATAACCATACATCAACTAGCGTATCATGGTGTTTTGGTGCGTAGACACAAGGTCGAGCGTCATAAATCCATCATGAGATCACCTGACATAATGAGCAATCCTGTGATTTTGTGTAGCATTGTGAGCTTTGACGTCACAGCTCTGTTCACCAGAGTCCCTGTCCCTGACTAGCTTTCATACCTTGAAGAGGTACTAGAAAAATTCCCCATACCCTACCCCACGAAAATAATAATCAAATTGATAAAACTTTGTGTTACTGATTGTAAATTCCTGTTTGAAGGGAAATACTATACTCAAAAACAGGGCATGGCAATGGGAAATCCCCTTAGCCCATTCCCCAGGAACTTATATATGGAATTCTATGAGACTAGACTTCTTAAAGACATTCTCCCAGATAAAGCTAGTTAGTTCATATACGTAGATGATGTTCTTTGCCTATGGCCGAGAGATCACAACATTGATGAGTTTCTATCCAGACTCAGTGGGCTAGTACCTTCCATTAAGTGCACTGCAGAAAATGAAACAAACAATACAATGTTCTTGAGAGCCTTGCGCATCTGCAGCCTGGAGTACTTAGGGGACGAAATCAGCAAGATATTCAACATAGACACAAAACTAAGATATCCCAGGGATTTTGTTGAGAAGGCACTAATGTCAGCAAAAAAGACTTTCTACAGGACTGAACCTAAAGAAGTGATGGCCAGGAAAAATGTACTAGTTTTACCATACAATGCAAATCTGGTTTGCCTACGTGAGGCATTAAAAAAAATCAATACGTATAAACCTGGCTTTCAAAAACACGGGGACAGTGAAACAAAGGCTGATTAAAAACACAGCCTCCAACAAAGTTGGTGGGGCTTACAAGGTTCCATGTACTCAGTGTCCTCTCTCATGTATAGGTCAAACAGGTAAAATTCTGAAGATTGAGACACTTATGCAACATATGGGAATCTTTATTGAAGAAACGTTTCGCCACACAGTGGCTTCAGTTCAATACAAATCAGAAGGGTGTAAGGAGAGGAGGAGTTTGAGGTAATCAGTCCCTCAGCCTGGAATCGATGTGTTCAGTCCATCAATCTTGTAGAAAGTACAGCATAGGGCCGTAAAAGTGGCTTATATACTGTAGTCAGGTGAGGCGAAGGAGGAGGAGGCGGGGTCATAGTGGTATAGCTCCTTGTGTGTGTGTGTGTGTGTGTGTGTGTGTTGTGTGTGTGTGTGTGTGTGTACTCACCTATTTGTACTCACCTATTTGTGGTTGCAGGGGTCGAGTCCTAGCTCCTGGCCCCGCCTCTTCACCGGTTGCTACTAGGCCCTCTCTCTCCCCGCTCCATGAGCTTTATCAAACCTCGTCTTAAAACTGTGTATGGTTCCTGCCTCCACTACGTCATTTTCTAGGCTATTCCACTGCCTTACAACTCTATGACTGAAGAAATACTTCCTACTATCTCTCTGACTCATTTGTGTCTTCAACTTCCAATTGTGGCCTCTTGTTTCTGTGTCCCCTCCCTGGAACATCCTGTCTTTGTCCACTTGTCTATTCCACGCAGTATTTTATATGTCGTTATCATGTCTCCCTGACCCTCCTGTCCTCCAGTGGGTCAGGCCGATTTCCCTTAATCTTTCTTCATAGGACATTCCCTTAGCTCTGGAACTAACCTTGTCGCAAACCTTTGTACTTTCTTAGTTTCTGACGTGCTTTATCAAGTGCGGGTTCCAAACAGGTGCTGCATACTCCAGTATGGGCCTGACATACACGGTGTACAGTGTCTTGAATGATTCCTTACTAAGGTATCGGAATGCTGTTCTCAGGTTTGCCAGGCGCCCATATGCTGGCAGCAGTTATCTGATTGATGTGTGCTTCGGAGGACATGCTCGGTGTTATACTCACCCCAAGATCTTTCTCCTTGAGTGAGGTTTGCAGTCTTTGGCCACCTAGCCTATACTCTGTCTGTGGTCTTCTGTGCCCCTCCCCCATCTTCATGACTTTGCATTTGGCAGGATTAAATTCGAGAAGCCATTTGTGGACCAGGTGTCCAGTCTGTCCAGGTCTCTTTGAAGTCTGCCTGGTCCTCATCAGATTTAATTCTCCTCATTAACTTCACATCATCTGCAAACAGGGACACTTCTGAGTCTAAACCCTTCCGTCATGTCGTTCACATATACCAAAAATAGCACTGGTCCTAGGACCGACCCTGTGGGACCCCGCTCGTCACAGGTGCCCACTGTGATACATCATTACGTACCATGACTCGTTGTTGCCTCCCTGTCAGGTATTCTCTGATCATTGCAGTGCCCTTCCTGTTATATGCGCCTGATGCTCTAGCTTCTGCACTAATCTCTTGTGAGGAACTGTGTCAAAGGCCTTCTTGCAGTCCAAGAAGATGCAATCAACCCACCCCTCTCTCTCGTGTCTTATTCTGTTATTTTATCATAAACTCCAGAAGGTTTGTGACACAGGATTTGCCTTCCGTGAATCCGTGCTGGTTGGCATTTATCTCTGCTCCGTTCCAGGTGCTCCACACTCTCCTCTGATAATCTTCTCCATAATTTTGCATACTATACACGTCAATGACACAGGTCTATAGTTTAGTGCCTCTTTTCTGTCTCCTTTTTTAAAAATGGGAACTACATTTGCCGTCTTCCATACCTCAGGTAGTTGCCCAGTTTCCAGGGATGTGTTGAAGATTGTGGTAAGTGGCACGCACAACATATCTGCTCCCTCTCTAAGGACCCACATGGAGATGTTGTCTGGTCCCATTTGCCTTTGAGGTATCGATGTCCCTTAGCAGTTTCTTCACCTCCTCCTCATCTGTATATATGTCGTCCAACACTTGTTGGTGTATTCCTTGCTGGTGTCCCCACTGGTCTGTCCCCCCAGAGTCCTTTCCCGTCTCTACTGTAAATACTTCCTTAAAAATCGGTTGAGCTCCTCACATACCTCTTGATCGTTTCTTGTGAGTTCTCCACCTTCCTTCCTCAGCCTTATCCCCCTGGTCCTTGGGCTGTTGTCTTCCTCCTAATGTGGCTATACAGCAGTTTAGGGTCAGATTTGACTTTCGATGCTATGTCGTTTTCATACTGTCGCTGGGCCTCCCTCCTTATCTGTGCATATCGTTTCTGGCTCTTCTACTAATCTCCTTGTTTCCCTGGGTCCTATGCCTCCTGTACCTTTTCCATTCTCTGTTGCACTTAGTTTTTGCCTCCCTACACCTTCGGGTAAACCAAGGACTCGTTTTGGTCTTCCTATTATTTCCGTTTCCCTTGGGAAAAAAACTTTCCTCTGCCTCCTTGCACTTTGTTGCCACATATTCCATCATCTCGTTTACTGATTTTCCTACCATTTCTCTGTCCCACTGAACCTCCTGCAGGAAGTTTCTCATACCTGTGTAGTCCCCCCTTTTATAGTTTGGCCTGTCCCCTTCAGTTCCTGTTACCTTCTCCACTTGTAACTCTACTATATAGTCAAAACTCAGAACCACATGATCGCTAGCTCCAAGGGGCCTCTCATAAGTGATGTCCTCAATGTCTGAACTGCTCAGGGTGAACACAAGATCCAGTCTTGCTGGCTCATCCTCCCCTCTCTCTCTGGTTGTGTCCCTGACATGTTGATGCATGAGGTTTTCAAGTACCACATCCATCATCTTGGCTCTCCATGTTTCGGGCCCCCCATGTGGCTCCAGGTTTTCCCAGTCGATCTCCCTGTGGTTGAAATCGCCCATTACCAGTAACTTTGCTCTGCTCGAGTGAGCTCTTCTTCCCACCTCAGCCAGTGTGTCCACCATCACCCTGTTGTTTTCTTCGTGTGTGTGTGTGTGTGTGTGTGTGTGTGTGTGTGTGTGTGTGTGTGTGTGTGTGTGTGTGTGTGTGTGTGTGCGCGTGTGCGTGTGTGTGCGCGTGTGTGCGTGTGCGTGCGCGAACGAGTGTATGAGTAACTCATAATCGTGACAGTGTTAATTT